GCTATTTTTGTGCTAAAAAAATCCTTGAATATCAAGCATTTCTTGCATTTATGGATGGATTTTGTTCAAACTTATAACACACATTAGACATTACAGGTTCCTGATGCATGTCATTTTATTTTCAGATTGGATTCAAAATAGCTGACTGGCGGCCATTTTGTTTTAATGATTGGGCTTCTAGAGCCATATCTCTTAAATACTTTGACTGATTATATTCAAATTTTATATATTCGTTATACATCATGTTATATATATATATACATGTATTCAAAATGGCTGATTTTGAATGCTGTTCCAGAGTAATATCTCTCAATATGGACAAGTACTTGTTTGAGGATCAGATACAAATGTCAATCATTTTAATGTTAAAAAAATCATATTCCTGACATGGTTATATTTCAGCTATATTACTATAAACATAACTATATATCTCAAATTTGATAACTAACGGGGACTGTGCCATGCATGGCTTGTTCTTTCGTGGGAACATCACTGTTAGTGACATTTCCAGGATCTTTTCCATTATTTTTAATACAAGAAAAACATTTCTCTCAATGTTCACAGCACTCTTACACATATTGATACTTAAAAGTTTAATACAAAATTTAGAAAAAAGAACAACTCTGCATGCAAGGTGCTGTAAATCGGGGTCGTCTAAAGATTATGGTCAAATAAACATCCTTGGTAAAATTTAACAATGAACTGTTGGCCTATTGAGTCAAAATAAGTTGGAAAAAAACTGAACAGAATTCTTTATTCAGGGAGGAAAAACTTTTTTTTTCAACATAATTTTCAACAACAATTCCACTAAATGTTGCCACAATCAAAATATTAGGAATGACCCAGTTGTTCATAAGATAAAATGTAATATTTGTTCATGCATTCTTGTGTTGATGTAAATACCAACATTTTGAATAATAATAATACATGTATACTGTTTAATAATCTATCTTTTGATCTAACCAATTAACTGAGCAAAATGATTAGGATTATTGCAACTTTCTAGCGATGAATATGTTTTCAAAAATATTTGCCATCTTAGAAAAATCACGTAATTGTTCCATATTTGGAATTAACATTTCTTAATATGGTATTAGGCAGATACTGATGTGTAATACTGCACACTTAAAGCAGGCTGTAACTTGAGTCGATATAGTGACAGATGTATAATAGATTATTATTTTGTAGGGGCATTCCTGCCACCGGGTCAGAAGCAATTGGAAGAGAAGTATCGAGAGGAATTATGGAATATGTTTGGTATTGAATTTAACAAACTCTTCACCATTACTAACATGCCAATTAAAAGATTTGCTGATTTCTTATACAGAAGGTATTGATCCCTTGTCTTGTTTATAATTGTTGAACTTTAAGTTTCTGATTGACTAACATTGGTTTGAAAATGCAACTTTGAAGAATGTGTGAATATGTGTGCTCGAAGTTGACTGCTGTATTAAACTTGAAAATAAAAATAAATAATTGAAAAAAAAATTGCTTCAGTCTGCTGGGAATTATGATACTCTTCAGTTGGTGAGAACTTAAAGTCTTGCCAATAAATTAGTAAGAATTACAAATACAAATATGAGAATTTTATATCATATCAACTGATTGATGAAAATGTACTCACTCAATCCTACCCCGAGTATTTTGGTGCATCTGTTTTCAACTTGTCAAAATACCACTTGTAAATATGATGCAAAGTTTTTTTGTTTTTCATTGAAATATACTTTATATTGTAGATTTTGTGTACTGAAACGAAATTTGTATATAGCATATAATACTTAGTATGTTTTTAATTTCTTACATGGAGAAATGAATTACAAGACTATATGGATGTATTGGTTAGGAACTTTAATCCTGCTACAGTGCCAGGTTTAATGTGCTATAATACACTGAGTGTCAATTGGAATGGGCAGCTATTTGATTGTGACTTTAATCAACAGTTGGATATTGGCATTAGTACAAAGAAAGTTCATGGTATGTTGAATAAATTCACCGAATTCACTGCCTGGATGAATGGAGGTTTCCTAATTACGGATTACTGATTTATTCAATTATATATATATATATATATATATATATATATATATCATTGTTTGAATTACAATAATTTATATTAAATACGATTGGAGTATGTCATTAAAGATGTAGACAATTTGGGTGGTTTTCTTATTATTATCAATTTGTTTTTTTTTTTGTTTTTTTCACTCAGGGCGAAGTGATCATCTGGATCGATTGAAGTCAAATTTCCTGAATGTACACGATATTGAATCGTGTGATGATTTGATTGATGTGCGAATTGCTGTTGACAATCATTGTTTCGGCTGCACTGCTGGTATGGGCTCTAGCTGACAGGGAGTGACTGCACAGTAATTGTGCTCTGTTTTAATTTTCATGACACTCCATTATACATATATTCTGGGTTTGTATTCTGTTGAGTGTTATAAGTGTGATTGTGCACACACATCTACATAGATTACTTAAGACAAAATGACAAGTTGCATTTCTTGAAAAATCTGCTTCAATATTACAATATATTACATTGACCTTGTACTCAAGACAATGTATTTAATGAATTGCATTTAATATTGTATTATGAAACACTCACTTAAATTCTGAACAAGTTATCTTGTCTCTCATTTCAATTTATGACATAATTGGCTTAAACTAGAAATAAGTGGCCGATTCTCGATGCTTTGTGAGATGAAAGACTAACTCCTGGTATATTTATGTATTTGACTTCTATTATGAATAACATGTATTGACATAATACATTGTACTTACTATGAAACAATAAATTACAAAAGTATTGAGTCGTTTTACCATGTTGGATTACTAATCTGCAATACACCATACATCTTGGGATACATATCCACGTCCATTCGTTACACGATCCGATTCGAGTTGGCTGAATGATGGCCATTTTTATGGTTAAAATTCATCATTCAAGCATTTATATCATTCTTGAGCTAGATCCTGGTTGTGTATGGATGGATTTGTTTAAACGTAGTACATACGTTGCACATAACGAACCCTTGATCATTATGTTTTTTAGACCATATTTAATTTCAACAAATGCTGTTCGGAGCTGTATCTCTGAAATGCCTTCACAATCATGTTCATACTTAAAGTTGATAATGCAACACAAAAAATGGATACCAATGGATATCTTTCAACCTTGGTGCATACATTAAAAATAATGTTCCAGGGCTATAGTGCTGACATGCATACATCAATAGATGTCACACATACGGACCTGCATTCATTCGACAATTATATCCAATATTGCAAAATGGTGATCATTTTAGTGATCATTTGACGTGTTTCTAATTGTTTCGCGCCATTAGGCTTTAAAATAGTTCTTCTGTTACAGTAACAGAACTCACTTTCTAAGGATGTTAGTTCACCAATACAGTCAATCAGTCACATTGGCAAGTTTAGTTAGTTGGTTAGTTTTAAATGTTGCTTCTTCATCAAGTTGATCTGATGTTGCTATCCACCTTTGTTCTATTACTATAGAGGGGCTTTTCCCCACTTCGTCAAACTGTTCAGTACAGTCCTTTAGTTCCTTTATGAGTGCACTGATTTTCTAATTTGCTGACTAAGTTCCGATCAGTAACTGGCTTCTGGATATATGCCTAGACAATTTCTTTACCAAGTGGCAGTCGAGAAGTTGTGCTCCCTGGTAGTTTTGTAATTGACGTTGAAGGTTGTTGATTCCGCTGGCATTAGAGTAATTAATTTCCCCCAGCTTCACAGTTACTTTCAGTGTAAGTCTTGAGAATATGTTTTCTAGTTGTAGTCAACACTAACTAGATAAATATTTTGTCCCCACTACATCTCACACACGAGAGACTTCTGATTCAGTTCACCAAACATAGATCATGTCTCAATCTTATAAACTCTTTTAAGTCCAATATTTAGCTTTGAAGAATTTTCTTGATGGTCAATGATGACCATACCCTAAGGCAGATCACCTATCACCTACTACGGATATGCTTTGTACTTTGCATACTAGTCTGGTATAGTGAGTATGATGTCCCTTAAATTTTACATAGTGAAGTCATACTGATTATATTCCGGCCTGCCTCCCACCACTACAATATTTTGTCGACCCTCCCCTCAGGCTGACGTATTTTACTGACACCGGGGTTCTAACAGTTCCAACATGCGGCCTCCTCTGGCAGTAAGCCCAGTAATCTATCCGATACTAAGCTATTTCTATGGTTTGACTTTACTATACAGCATTTCAAATTATTCCAGAGAATTTGTTTATATTTTTCAAATAGTATATGTAACTAAACTGTTGGTTAGGTTATATAGTTAATAAACACAGTACTGCTTACCAGTACGGTAATAGAAGTAACCAAGGTAACCAAATCAGGATAATAATAAAATATAATTTTGATAACAAACATGGATTCACAATATTATATTACTAATATATTATTTTTACGAAAGCGTATGCACATTAGAAATTCTAGTCAAGTCATGTGACTATGACTGGAAATTGAATGCTCTCACATAATATTTTTCGATGACTTCGGCCTGATTCTATGGCAATTAACTGTATGGTTTGCACTTCAAAAATCAATTTCAAACAACAGAAATAAACTGAAAATGTACTGTATAACCAAACCATTTTCACACTGTTTTACTCGACCAACAATAATCGACAATGAAACTGTATGATGATTGTATAAAAAGAATTAATTAATTAATTAATTAATACAATTAATTAATACAAATCTATATTAATACAGAACTTTCACAAAACATTTCAGATGAATGATTTGGAAATTTTCACTTTCACATGTTATAACATCTATGCGATTCATTTGTTGGAAATCAAACTCACCGAGCTTGGTGACAATTTCGAATACGAATCCAGCCTCTTACCCAATCACATGTCTGCCCTATAAGACCAATTACCATATCACTTAATCTTACATTTAAATGTAACGAATCAAATGTGACCGGATGTAAAAAGTAGCCAATCATAGCGCATCTTAATTGACCAATTATAACGCTGCCATTTATACTCTTCCCGTCCAATTCAGAATGTATATAAGTCGATCATAAGTCATGACTGTATCGGTGTTTCAATAAATCTGTTCAACTGCCAATAAGCTGTTGTCGCTTCTTTCATCACCCGACGAATCTTACTCCACATCATTCTCGTTTTACAATGATATTTATAATGATATGAGTACACTAATGTTTGTTATGCTTAAAATAAACATACAAATAAATCAACCCCCTATAGATAATATAAGTTTGACTACTGCTCTAAGATGTTGGTTTGTCCGTCTACATCACTGAACAAAATGCGCAATTAAAATAATTGAAGTGCGTCAAGCAAAATATCAAATGCAAACTGTTATTAAATGCGACAGCTGGACCTGTGGTAAGCAACGACATGCATTAACATGTTTACCTTAGTAATCCAGAATATAGTAGAAATGCTTTCCCCGTGACTTGCTACTTAGTTATTGTTCAAAATGCTGAGATATTTAATTAAAATTAAATTCGGAGTTCGTTAAATGATTTTTGTAAATAGTTTTGGCTGATAAAATTTCGAACCTACCGATACGAACATTTTCAGTTATATTGTTTTGAGCCGTCTTGTTTTGACGGCTTGGGTGGCGTAGTGAGTTGCCTTGCGTGTCTGTGTATTGTGGCTGGACGCATTTGCCAAGGTTGTGAGACCGTATGCGTGTTTATTATATACCAGGGCTTGAATTTCATTGAGAAATTAAATGCGATTGCCTCGACGCCTGAAAATCTACTTTGGCGCCCTTCAAAATGGGGTATTCTTCCAATAGACAATTCTATCAAATTTGGACTTGCAAAAAGGTGTTCTCGCAACTCAGAAGCTTTAGCCTTGACAAACTTAAGTCTGTCCTGTAATTTATATTATTTGTTCATTAATGAAGATAGCATATGCTATCATCTGATTAGTATGCAAAGCTGTGATATTATTCCCGCGATAAGCCTAATTTACTATGTGATGTAGTGTTAATTGATTCAGTTTTTTTTTGCGGATTCAATATACAGTGATAAATGTTAACCGATATGGTGACAGTTTATAATTTATTTCCCCCCAATTGGTTTCAAATTCCTGATTGTTTACATACAATAAACTACGGATTAATGCGCAGTGTTGTTGGAAAGAGGTGATTAGTTCCTTCTCGCTTGAACTGCAACCGTAACCTTGCACCATCCTGAACTGTCATCAACACTAATGATGTAGTGTAGACTAAATTAATTCACAGTCATGCATGCCCGAGTTACAGCTGTTACTGCCGCGCATATCGCGTTTTGATTTATACACATTTATGTCCCCTTTAACAAGGCGTGATGTTTAACAGGTATCTATCCAGATATGCTTCAACTCCAATATTCACAATCGTCGGGTGCGTTATTATATTGTTTGTTTACAACCACGTGAGCCTCAAGCCTTGTAGAACCGATGACAAATTTCTAAAAAACGCTCTTCCAGTAGTGACTACAGTATACACAACTAGGCCTAGGACAACTGCTCAGACAGGCGATGGTTACTTACCCATAGATGTACCATGGACGGCCGCTCACAATAAAGATGACTACGTGAAAGCTAAGTTTGACAAATCATGTTATACGGCGACATTACCTTTTCACATCCCCAAAGCGTTACGTAACGATTCGGAGTTGCATGAACGCGATTGTGTGCAACGTGTTCCTAGGGCCATCATTCCGGGAATTCGTAAGTGTGGCACTGCCGCTCTTCAACATTTTTTGACTGTCCATCCTTATATTACTGGTCCTATCTTGGAGGTTCATTTCTTCGATTCAAAGGGAAAATATAATACAAATGGAGACTCTGAACCAAGTTACGGGTGGTATAAACAACAGATGCCGTATACGACCGTTGAAGAGATTGGTATTGAAAAGACTCCAGCCTACGTGTTCCGACCCCCCGATCTGCCTCGTAGAGTCGCCGAGGAAATGCCCCCGGAAACTGTGTTTATCGTAACGCTTTGTGATCCAGTGAGGCGAGCCGTTTCGGATTACTTGGAATACAATCGAAAGAAAACTGGTACTGAGGAAATGATGGGACTCCACAAGTACGTTGGGGAAACGTTCGAAAGTTCTGTAATACGAAACGGTTATCTAGACCAGTTAAACGAGTTTGTTGATATGGGAATTTACTTAAAACACCTCCTACGATGGTTAGACCATATACCGATGAATAGATTACACGTAGTTGACGGCGGGATATTGGCAGAGGACCCTGCCCTAGAATTGCGAAAAATTGAAACTTTTCTCGGCGTTCCGCATTTTTTCAGAAGAGAGCATTTTTATCGGAATGAATCACGGGGACTACAGTGCATGTCGTTTCCATCAACACAACACTGCTTACCCTTGAACAAAGGAAGAGTTCACCCAGATGTTGCTCTTGATGTTTTTAAACAACTATGTGATTTTTATCGACCATATAATCTCGCTCTGGAGAATCTGTTCCGTCAAAAATTCACTTGGACAGAAATTTGTTAAGACAAATTATTACTTATTATTAAGTTAGCACTTTACCAACGTATTTTATAAAATTGCGGGTGAAAGAACAGTAGTATAAAATTATGTGTACGAGCACGCACACCATACATGTAATATTATATTCCAACTCACAATCACTAGAAACGTCACGCAAATGTTGGCCGCGTTGCTTATCACGTCAACCCAACTGTCACAAAACGAAATATTAGTGAACACGGCCATTTCGACTACAATGCAGTGCGTACGTCGAATCTCGCACAATACAAACAACACGTAGACATATTTAAACAAATTCAAAGCCATGTAATTATTGTAACAATGATGATACGAATTTATAAAAGAACTGGTTAGTTCAGTAAAACACTATTCCATAGTTTTGTAGTTTTTTTTTTGGGGGGGGGGTTTATATTTCAATATATCATATTGGCACGCGATTGTTAAATTGATAAATTAATATGTAAAGTACATTTGCGGCCTTTGGTCCGTATGTCAGTACAATTGTGTGTGAAAAGTGTATGTGTCTTTTCAAAGCTTGTGAACATATATCCTAATGCATTTCATCCCAACATCTGTCACAATACGCAACAATAGGCATGCCCGTCAGTACTATAATACAACAATAATCAAAAAGGAACGATTGATAAGAACAACATTCCCCTGCATGTAACATTATTTATTATTCGCATGGAATTTATACTCATCTGGTTAAATCATTTGCATACGGAATAGGCCCAAGGATGTTAACTATATCTAAGTGTAGGTGAATAGGGATGCGTTGTTTTGATGCGAGTGACTGGCCTAGTTTTATTCCGTGTACTGATTTATGATACGTGTTGCGTGTGTGTGTGGTGGGAATGTTCGTTATTTTAAACACGGTAAGTATCATGGAACGAACATATAGAATTTTGGTCCGGTAAATGAACTTTGTACACACATCAATGATGAGTGTCGTTTAACAACATTAGACTAACAAAATACTCATGTTTCTGGGTACTGCGCGTTTCAGGTAAAAACGTGGGCGTCGCATTTTTGTGTAAGAATTTCAGAAAATATAATAGAAAAATAAATATCCATTAAAAAAATCACAAATTTAATGAAAACAGATTAAAAGCAGCCCGTGCATGTCAATTTTAGAATAAAATGTACCGGAAATTGTTTCATATCTTTGGTGTCAGTTGTTAGTTGTCCCATAATATTCAAATTAGATTTCCGTGCGCTTCTAGGAAATTGTCATAAATAGTTAATGTTGATTCGTAATTGATTTTATAAATATATACGAGGTTGTAATAATTGTGTATTTTTAAGAATGAAAAAATACAGATAAATTTAATTATGGTGTTAGTAGATTGTTACCTATATTACCTCCGGGTTCTCAGGCCATCATAATGTCAAGTAGCTGTAAACACATATTTGTATCTACATATTGATCGACAGTTCCAACGACGGTTCGTGGTGAGGATTTCAATCGTTGTTACAACAATTTAGAGGAGAACCACCCACACCACGAGTCTGTAAGTAAACACTCTTCATATTTCTCTTGTGTAATCCCTGTCATAAATCAAAAAGAGACTTGTTGAATTGTAATTTCGTATCATACAGCGCGTCTACCCACCGTGACGAGTAGCATTGTTATAGTTGTGTGTTTGTGATATACCTTATTGTAATTTATTGTACAAGACACGCTTGTAGTCATGGTAATTCGATGTAATAAAAATCTATTCATTACAATATGTCCCAGATAATATTCATGAGACAAAACGATAAAACATCATACACAAATATGAAAACTTTTATATACATGTAGTTGTAATTGAACATACCGAATTCGCCATAACAAAGTTCTGTTGACAGGATAGAATACTTTGTAAATGTTAGTACAGCGCTCTCGCAAGTGCGACTACTAAACCGGAAATGACTGATATACTGTTTAAACAATCTTTGCCAGTTTCGTATACGACCTTAGCTTAGGCCAAAAAAAATGTTTTGTTGCCCTCGGCGACCGACCGAAAAATATGAAATATCGGTTCGCGGTTTTTTTTTAATAGGCCCAAATATAAAGTTGCGACTTTGATCTGTATTTCTCTGACATGTTCCGAATAATAATTTTAAATACATGGAATGCACAAAATTTTATTGAATTTACATCCGCTTACATCACAAACAAAACGACGGCTCTTGCACGTTGTTTTAGCGCTGTCAGTATTCTCACTTCCGGGTTTATCCTCGTGTGTACGTACATGTGTACAACGGTAACGAAAATGGCGAACACGTTTGCTGTGTACATGACAGCAAAAGCTGGGTCAACTATTAAATTTAGCAAAGTCACGGAGCTTAAAAAAAATCCGACCGACCGACCCAATTTTTCAGGACAACAAGTGTTCGATGTACAGACACAATTGTAGCCCAATTTGCGATTCAATTCATTTGGTGCGTGAGACTGAGTTGCATAAATATACTTTTTATATAATAATAACGCGGTGGAAGCTTGGTCAATGTGTTAAAATCAATTTATTTAACGTTGTTTGCAAATTAAATAGCAGAATAACATTACAAACTAGAAGGCAAAGAATTCGATATTTCCACTAATACATCTACCCTATTACAATAATGTATCGTTTATAAACAATTGCACAATACACAAATGTATTTGACCCGTTTTGACTGCATCAATGTTTGGTAAACTGAATTAAAAGAAAACTTGTTTTTTGTTTTGTTGTATTTCGATAATATATAATACATAAATACATATCAAATGTAAATGTTTATTACATCTGATGTGTATGATACATATCAATAAATCTGTATATATCATAACCATATCGTCAACACCACAATCATATTTCCATGGCAAATTCTTGGGTCTTTATAGTAATTCCCAATGAAAATGTCTTGGTAATACCCATGACATGACTCGTGAACATTGTGAACATTTCATGAATTCATAACTAGTGTGATTTAACAATAAAGACCTTTTCACAATTCCTGTATCATGGCAACCGGATCCAAAAGACTACCAACATTTAGTGAATTTGTCTTTGTTATGAGCTTTTTTATGAGAGTGCATCCATAAGAAAATCACCACTTGATAACATCAGATCAATAACACTTTTTTCTTTTACAACACATTCAATTTTAGTGTCTACTCATCAAATCTGCAACATCTCTATTGCACCTACGCAGCGATTTATATTTTTCAGCAATTTTTCTTGTAAATGAAATTAAAGCAGTCAGTACGTAAAACCATGGCCAGCGAGCAGCATTTTTTGTTGTTGCGATTACGCTCTAACAATTCTATGTAGTTCCAAGGTGTTACATATACTCATACTACGGATTGCCGCGCCCTTATTGTTCTAACCATGCTTTTTTGCTTCTATTATTTACATTTTCCCTAGAATTGGTCAGTTTCCTCGCTAGGAACTGTACGAGTTAACTAGTCTCTTTCTTTGTTTTGAGAGCTGTCTTGAAAACTGTTTTGAAAGCTGTCTGGCTTTGCTGGTTTATCAGATAGTTTCAGGCTAACCATGTTCATTCACACATTCACTTTTTTCTAATGACAGGAGCACGATTTTAACACAGGTTTACATGATGACCGTATTATCTGGGTTAGAATCCTTGTGACTTTTATATTTTTAATTCAACATATTTATTTGCAATGAAAGGCGTGTAACCACACGATTTGCAAAAAAAAATATATGGTTAGTATTTACATTGACAGCTGTATACGATTAGTATATTGTGTGTTCCATTCACATTAATGAATGTAAAAGTACATTTGTTTGCCGTTAGTGTGCCCTTTATATACCCGAGATCATGTTCTGGATAATGTAGTTAGTATTGTATTATTTTTTTTAGTCTGAGAAAATTGCTCTTGGTCTAGTGGAAAGCTGATCTGTATTCAAAGACGATTGTTGACAATGCTTTGCTTTGATTCGCTTAAAGCGCGGCAGTCGTCGCGCTGCGCATGTGCCACATTTGTGTGGATAAACATTGATTTTCCCTAAATTCAATGCGCTCTTCAAATGGAAATCGCAAGTATGAGGTTTGACCTGGGCGCGACTTGCACTGATTACCGCGGGTGACTCCTTCGATACCTTCCAATCACATGAAAATTACTTATCTAAAGCTTGGAAACGTCCCATATATCCTGTACATGCGCAGCTCGACGACTACCGCGCTTTAACCCTATGTTGAACGTTGTGCCGTATTTAAAATTTCGTATATTGATATATTCATGTTCTCTAGAAAAGTTTGATAACATGAGTATTATTGCATTCGCAGTTTCTACTTTCATGCTATAGCGTTACTGGTGGTGAATTTCTACAGTCATAAAGTCATAAGAGACATGCCATAGTGTCACTGATTATAATTTACTGTTGCAAACTGTGATGCAGTTTGTACGAAGGTTTCCTGTTGTTGAGAGTTAAATTAAATTAAATTAAATTAAATTAAATTAAATTAAATTAAATTTCAGTATAAAATGTCTATAATAAACCGAAATTCACACTAACTCACGAGTTCCATATATATATCAACAAAACCAAAGCAATCCCTGTACAACATAACAATTTTCAAATCTTCGCTCCCAATGGCGTAAAGCGGACTCCAAAAAATAAGGCTTTTCTTAGGTTTAACCTATGAACTATTACCCGTTAACCCTGCTTGATTATTTTAATTCAATTTCAAATTAAATACTTATTTTCTATGCCGTGTTTATTATTATAGTTAGTTGATGGCTGCGAAAAGGGTAAACTGCAATTGCAGACTAAAATAATAATGACAAACAACAACGATAATCTGTATGGATATTCCATTACACGGGGGGGGGGGGGTAAAAGAAAAAAAGACTCACCATGTCATTGACCATTGACCTTGAAAATTGGTCGTGACCTTTCTGATCTATACCAACGAAGAAAATAAAATATACAAAACTCACCATTTTCTGCACTATAGTATACATCGAAGTAATGAATGTATATTTAATTTGATTACTGGTTCAAAACCACAACATGACTTCTCTAGTTGTCTACGTATGTCTCAATCATGTGTACAGCACAGAAACTGGATTCCTATATAATGGGAAATTGTCCTTAGATCTAATAAAAACAAGTCTCTGAGAACGCGGAAAATTATAGACGAATCTAACATTTAAACAAGTATGAAACTTATATTTCAAATAGTAACTCGCATCTGCTACCGACGGTAAATTATAAAATACCGCCCTCAACTGCTATGCGAAAAACACTTTTTGCGTTACTTGGCATTTCACCTTTTCTGAGACTGTTAGTGTGGCTAACTGAGACACTTTGCAAGTAAGTTCGAATCCTATATTTTAGTAATATGAATGTAATTAATATTCTAAGGAACAT